CTTGTCTGAACACAAGGAAACATCAATAAAATTGCCAGAAACAAAACTAAAGCTCTGCCACAACTTTCTCACATACACACTAGGTGGAAACACGTAGATCTGACTGCTTTCCAGGTAGTGTTGAAGCAAGTCTTAGCCATAACTTGCTAGATTGACAGGTCTTATTTTTCAGTGCAGACATTCCACACTGCCACAGTAATAGGTTTTAAAAACACGTTTAAAGTCCAGTTCTTAATGCCTACCAATCTGATAAATTTCAGTTTGCATCTAACACATTTAAGCTGCCAAAACAGGACTTGACATGGCACCATCACAAATATATTCATACAAGGTACATAACTGAAATATTTACACAATATTTGCAAAATCTTTACCTTTGTAAAATGAGAATAACAGCAAATAAAAACCTAATCTTAAAGCTTCAGTCACATTGCTGTATTACTAATTTGAAAAAAATCCTCAAAGGTTTGAAGCTGGGAAGAAGAGGACAACAGGAAGAGGCAGAGAGCAGCAATTGTTACTAGACTGAGACTGAACAGTTATGTTCTACCCTATGTTGACTGAACATCCACTATGGAACTGACACTATTAAAGGGCAGTGAATTGCTAGCTTACTGTTACTAATTGCCTGGTTATTGAAAAACATGGAAAAGCTTGACATTTCCAGCTAGTAGTCAAACACAGTTTTTATTTCTTAGCTTCATGGAATAAATTGTCAACTTAAAAATACATGAAAATATTTATCTTTTACGTTTTGGTTCAATAAGGAGTGAAAAATTCCCATGTAATTAAGAGAATGATGACCCTGAAACCATCCATAAGAGCTTCAATGTATCTAGCAATCACCTAGTATGATTTCCCTTATACAAGGATTATAAAAACAATCCTGGCAATGCTTCACACATCATACTAAGCTTTCTCTTGATCCAAGAAGTTGAAGACATAAAAGGGGGAGGCATGTTAGCCTTCAGAAGAAGTTTCACACCAGACAGAGCAGTGAGGTTAGAACAGTGATTATAAAGTTGACTGGCTGTAGAGGCATGTATTTTTTCTATCATCTAAACTGATGCTACAGCTATTAAAAAGACAACATTCACAGAAAATGATAAGCAGCTGTCATTCAGCAGCTTCAAAAACTTCATCGTGGTACTGACAATATGGTGAGATCCCAGAATGAGTGGGTCCTGGGACAGAGAGATACAGAGGTGAGACTGGCAACATCAGAGTGGGAAAACTGGTTATATTGAACTGGAACAATGTGCAGATGCTGCTGCTAGTCTGGTATGTTGCATGACTTCTGCAGAGAAGACCAAATCAAGCAACCCAAGTCAGCATTAGAAACAGCCCAAAAAAGCTGACAGAGATATTTTACCTGATGGAAAGCTCTACACAGAGGTAAGTCTGGGACAACTTCCCTATGGGCTCCAAGCACAAGACAGCAACAGTCACCTAGTTTTGTTTATCTTGAGCCCACATTTAAATGCATCTAACTTCAAATTAATCATTATTTTGCCTGTGGTATGATTTTTCCCCACATGAGATACTGCCTCCAGAATTAACCCTTCCAATTTTTCAGGAAAGTATGTAATCCCCTTCCCATTTTGATCATTGTCTTTTAGAAAACAACTTCTTAAACAATCAAGAAGAGGAAGGAGAGAGATTAGGATAGACAGGAGGCAGAACTAAGTTCCTCATGATGTTAAAGATTCATTGGTCTTAAGGACTATGGAAAAAAGTTAGCAAAGTGAGTGAAGGAAAAGGGAAGATGTTTGTGACTCAATGATGGCCTCATTTTATGTCACAGGGTATACTTAATAGTATTCCATAGAGGAAATGGGCAACAATTATGTAGTGAAAGTCCTGCTCATCTTTGAGACATTATCTTTGAGATACTTGGAGTTACACAAGCAAATGGCTGAGGGCTTCCATCCAGAAGAGAGTTTGCTTCTTTCTGAACTTGCAGTTTCACATTAATGAGTAGAAAGCAAAGACTTCTAAGCGTAAGGGAAATAAAAGATTCATGAATCCCTGCAGACTTTCCAATCCTCAATGGAAAGCCTTCTTGTGGTAGGTTGACCCTGACTGGATATCAAGTGCCCAAACCATGATATCATTGCCCTCCTCAGTGGGACAGGTGGAAAGAAAATATAACAAAAGGCTCATGGGTCAAGATAAGGACAGGGAGAGATCACTCATCAGTTACTGTCACAGGCAAAACAAGACTCAACTTGGGGAAAAATTAACTTATTACCAGAGTAGGATAATAGAAGTAAGAGCAAATCTTAAAACACCCCCTCCCCACCCCTCCTTTCTTCCAGGGCTCAACTTCATTCCTGATTTCTCTACCTCCTCCTTTCCAGCAGCACAAGGAGACAGACAATGGGGTTGTGGTCAGTTCATCACACATTGTCTCTGCCAATCCTTCCTCTTCAAGGGGAGGACTCCTCACACTCTTCTGCTCCAGTGTAGGGTGCTTCCCATAGAAGACAGTCCATGAACTTCTCCAACATAAGTCCTTCCCACGGGCTGCAGTTCTTCACAATCTGCTCCAATGTGGGTCCCTCCTACAGGTTGCAATTTCTCAGGCACAGACTGCTCCAGCATTGGTCCCACACAGGGCCACAGGTCCTGCCAGGAGCCTGCTCCAGCGTGGGCTTCCCACGGGGTCACAGCCTTCTTCGAGCATCCCCCTGGTCCGGCGTGGGGTCCCCCCCGGGCTGCAGGTGGGTCTCTGCTCCCCCATGGAGCTCCATGGGTGCAGGGCACAGCTGCCTCACCACGGGCTGCACCACGGGCTGAAGGGGAACCTCTGCTCTGTGCCTGGAGCGCCTCCTGCCCCCCACTTCTGCAGAGTTGCTGCTCACAGATTCTCACTTCTCTCTCCCAGCTGTGGCACAGCAGATTAATCCCCTTCTTAAATCTGTTATCCCAGAGGCACTACCACCATTGCTGACTGACTCAGCCTTAACCAGCAGCAGGTCCATCTTGGAACCGGCTGGCATTGGTTCTTGGACATGGGGGAAAGCTTTTATCAGCTTCTCAGAGGCCACCCTGCTACCAAAACCTGGCCACACAAACCCAATATACCTCTACTGGCTCCTCTTTAACATCTGGATATTCCCATCTCCGAAGCTCTGAAACTATATGCTGCTTAAAATAACTTATGACACCCACAATATCACTGAAGTTCTCATTCTACAGACACTTCTCAGGAAAACAGTGACACCTTACCCTATTCAGATATTCAGCTTGGAAAACTTGTGCTTAATACTAGATACAGCTGAACAGCAACTAGTAATGAAAGGATAGAAATTCTGCTTATGACTTCTACCATGTTACAGTAATGTGAAAGATACATTATCAAAGTACCTTAATTGTAATACAAATGGGCAGGTATAAAAATATAATGCACTGAATTTAACATAAAATATTCTAGTGGTTTATGTCCTAGCAGCGAAACTTCTAATGAATCTCCACTTTAACAAAAGGAGACATGGAAAATGTTAATTTTAAAATGGACCCGTTAGCATTGCTTTATCAATTACAGCTTTAAATATATCTATCCCAGTTAAGATCTCTTCTTTGGAAGATAAGTGATCCAGTCCTAGGGAACATTCATTTTAGAAATTATTTAGCACAGCACTGGTTTTCTTTACAGTGCTATTTTCTAATTACTCTCTCAGAAGTAAAATATATATATCAGGATGCCGATTCAAACAGCTGTTATTTCCATGCCACTTCTATAACACATGCTATAAACAGCAGACACATGAATATCACGTTACTCAAAGAGGTTTATTTTTTACCACATCACCATGCATTCTACAGTGTATGCCCTGGAAACAGGGTGTTTAATGAGGACTAATTCCTTTGAAAGAATTGTGAAATAACCATTTATTTGCAGCGCTCACCTTGACTCAAGTCAGTTATAGCCAGGGGACACTTACATATACTGTTCAAGTACTAGTTCTGATAAAATTAATAAACTGCATCAGATTCTTCTGAATTGTTCAGATACATGCATTATGTTTGTACTGACAACATTAAACTTTCTGCAAAAAGCTGTAACTTAGAGAAAATTAGATTTCTGAGCAAGAGGACAAAGGTTGAGATTTGATTTAGAGAGTTTTCACAGGGGTGATGAGGAAAGGGAGAATTTTTATAGAAGAAATGTTAAAAAAAAAAGAAAAAGTGTCTAAACCACAAAAGCTTTTTCTGGAATTCAGGAATTCTTTTCTGATAGTCTGAATAATAAAGTCCAGACAGACCTGGCTGTAAAGAAGGTACGCTAAAATGCTTTAAGATATAAAAAGCATTAAAAGCATTGTCCTTGAAAACGTTATTTTTCTGTAAGACTAAATCCATTTTCTGACAATATTTTTGATTTAATAGTTTTTTATCTCACTGCTCTAAGTTTAATTTAAATTAAATCTATCCTAACAATTTACAATTCTCTATAATTATCAGTCATGTACAATATGAAGTATTTTGATATGATAGTAAATTTTTAATAAAATCAAAGATGTATGGCTTAGAGATACACTGTATATTGTTAAAAATTTAGGATTAATTCTGAGGCTTTCATAGAAATACTTTAATTTCTAAACACTGAACAGTTATATGACCACAAATATAGGTTTAGGAAGAAGAGTAGAATACTATTCTGTTTTAGTTAAAAATTAAAAAAAATCTGACAATAGGATTTCTTGGATTTTTGTAAAGCAGAACCCTAATATAATACATTTAAGAGGTGCATAACTATTCTGCAAAATGCACTGTAAATGTCTTTATGGTAGCACATATAACCTGACGTTTCATTACTATGAAACAGTTCCAAGTCAGAAAAGGTGACACAAGATGACCACATTTCCCATAGATTCCAGGTAAAAATCTTATTTAGGTACTAATTAAAGAGATCCTACAGAGTTCTAAAATGATAGTTCGGATCATCCTTCCAGAATTACACACTTTGTGCATGGTATGTCAACAGCTCAACTTACATATTCACCATATGTCTCCTGTGCTGGAGGTGGTGGAAGGGGGCGGTATCCTGAAGGTGGAGGTACTCCTCTTGCTCTGGGTGCTAGAAGTCCACGGCTACGACTGACTGGTCCTCTACTGGGAGGCACTCCTCTGGGTGCTGGTGCCCCTCTTGGTACTCCTGCTGGTGGTGGAGGCACTCCTCCACGGCCCCTGCAAATATAGGGATCACTTACCATTAAATACTATACCCTTGGCCTCCCTTTCAACAGCTCCCTCCCTCACATCATAATAATTTTCCTTTGCTAGAGCCAGAAAAGGTCTAAAAGAGGTTTACAGTCATCATTTTTATGTATGCTTTAATCCAATTACACACATTATGCAAAAAATGCTGAAAGATACAAACTAGATAATGTGGTTCAGTGATGAACTTCTCACTAGCTTGAGACATTCTCACATACACAGACACCCAAACCAATGTGCTGGAATCAGTCAACTTCACTAGAAATTTGACTTATAGTATGTGAAAACACAATCCTAGAGTAACAGGTTAATTTGAAGCTGTCAGCCTATATCATACTCAAACCCAGCACAGAAATCAGTTGCAACTCCCTTCTGATCCTGTGTAAACTTCTAAATACAATCCAAAGATCACACTGCATGTAAGAGATTGAGTTACATTTTCTTCTGGTTCTAAAGAGATTTCCAGCTGTTGCGGGAAACATTCAAACATGTAATAAACGTGCAGGGTGATTATAGGATATAACCTGATGTTATATCTATACTTAAGAACAGTAACAGTTTATTTTTAGAATTCTGAAACAATGATAAGCATTAACTTGCATTCCATTACTTCAACTCTTTGTAGAGATGAAAAACCTGAGACCTAAACCAGAACAATTTTCAAACACATTTGATCCATTTAAAGGTGGTGCCCCCCCACCTCCCTATAGTAAAGGGAGATTTAGAGGTACAACCTGTGGGAAATTTGCATCATTTATCCTCTTTTAAACAGGATGTCTAAGACATTGCTAATAGACATCTCCTTTTTAAAGGAGATCACCCCATGGACTACAGTTACGTAAACTACTGCTCTGTAGGCATATAGACTTGTTCCAAGAAAGTCACACCCTTATTGTATACTGTAACAGATATATAGAAGAAAACAAACACACACAAGCTCTAACACTATCTTTCTACCTATCAAGCCATCATCTAATTTATCTCAAGCAGTAATTGAGTGAAAATACTCTGTCCTGATTTCCATAAAAACTTCCAACTTAAACAATATTATAAAGTAAAATCCAGATTTGGCCTATCCCATTTCACATAAATCATATAATTTCTCATTGGTAAGCTTAGCAGAAAATATAATCATTTTAGCAAAAAATATTGGAAAAACTGCATCACAAAATGAAGAATTCAAAAGCTTAAATAGTTGATACAATCAGGTTAGATTTTATTCATTCTAATTACTGATCAAAACACAAAGTATTTTAAACAAGCCTAGAGAGTAAGTGATTTAAAACTGTGCTTATTACTTGGTTTTGGCTAATCTGTAGAATGCCTCCTCAGGACAGGGTACCAGCTGCTTATTTGACTTCATTGTAGTGGGGGCAGGGGTGAGCAGTGAAGTTCCCAGACACAGCCTGCTGAAGTAATATAAAGAAATAGCAAATGTGATACTTTCCAAGTGAAGCCAAAGAAAGGGAAATGAACCTATTGGCATAGACAAAAGTCAATACCAAGTAAAAACGTCAGTAAAAAAACCTCAAGAATCACTAGACCTAATCTTCATGGTGTCCTTTAGACAGTGCAAGTGAGAGCAGCAGGAAGTGGGACATGCTAAAAACATGGAAAAACATTTTATGGAGGGGGAAAAAAAGTACAGTATTTAGAGCCAGCATAGATTTATTCCTCAAGAGTAATTAGAACACCAGATCCACGTGATAAGGTCTTTTCTGCATTTTAAAAACAGTTAAGATTGCAGTGGTGATGGGTGGGAAGTCATATTTCTCTTATATTAGGAAACCATTTACATGCTTTTAAAAAAAAAGTGACTGTAGGAAGAATAAACAATCTGAGATATATAGTTCTGTATTACACCACTCAGATGGTTACTGCACTGGGCTGGAGGAGATGAGGAAGGTGCAGAGATGGGAAACTAGTAACAGGGGAGTTCCATTACCATGACAATCTGAGTCATATCAAGGTATGATGCTAAGAGCATATTTTTAGAAACTGTAAATTGTTATTTTAGTAAGTTATCAGGGAAGTACAGAAGTTTGATTGACATGAACAATAAACAGAAACTAACTGAAAACATTGAGGAATCACTTTGAATAGGAACCTTTGCCTACCTTTGCAAAACCAGACAAGTTCTGGTATTGCTTTATTTGAAAATGGGCAGCTATATTAATAGTGCTTAAAAAGATTTAAAAGCAGTAACATATATACATAAAATGGGAAGACATTTAGAGAAATCCCAGAGGAAGTCAGAGTACATACACAACAACTGTTAAAAAAGAAAAACTTGAAAAGGCAGAAGGAGCTCAGTAAGGCTAGAACAGCAGGGTAAGGAGAGATATTAAGAGGTCACTTGATTCACTTTGAAAAGATGAACCCATCTCTAACATAAGACAAATGCTAGTAAAACAAATACAAAATACTCAGAAAAAAGCAGGTCAGAACTTAAAGAATTTATAGAAAGCCTAAAAAAAAAAGTCTTTCAAACGCTCTGGAATTCAGAAATGTGCCACAGTCTGAGGCCAAATCACCAATGAAGAACAGTAAGGATATATATACACACACACATTCATTTTGCTACATAATCAAGACTGACCAAACAAGGTTCTCATGCTAGTCCTTCCTTATGGGGAATGAACTGGATGGTCATGCCAACTGACTTTAGACAAATTACAGAACAAATGGAGCAATTAAGAATAATTGCGCTCTCTTTCTGTAAGCTACAACAGGAGTTCAGATGTCTATCTTTTTAATCTTTAACCATTCAGGTTGGGATTTAGCTAAAGAGCAAAAATAATTTCAAAGTAACAAACTACAGGAGGTAACACTCAGGACTTAATATTTACACACACAAATTTTTATATTCTAACATTATACAAAGCAATAGGTTGAGCTGTCACTACGCAAAGAACGTTCGTAATTAAGACTGGCCAGGTCAGCACAGTGAAACACAAAGTTTTAGAAAACAAGGGAATACAGAAAACTTTGCTACCCTACTGTGTGTACTTACAGTCCTGTTGCCTAATTTCAGAAGAACATAAAAGAACTGTATTTGCATCAGAAACTATGTCAAAGATGACCAACAGTATAGAACAGCTTACATACAAGCAACAATTAAGTAGATTAAGGCACTTCATACTAGAAACAAGAATTGAGACTTACACAATAGAACCCAGTAGCAACATGAAGGGAACAGAGAAGGCACATCAGGAGTCATTCTCAATGTAACAATCAAGGGACATCAACTAGGAGAGATGGAATATTAAACCCAATTGCCTTAACATCCGAGCCACTATGACTGCTCCTATGAAATGCAATCACTGAATAACTTGACTGGAGGTCATCCAGTCCAACCCCCTTCTGAAGCAGGGACACCTTGAGCCATTTGCCCAGGACCATGCCCACATAGCTTCTGAATGTCTCTAAGGTGGGAGACTCCACAATCACCCCGAGCAGTCATCCTGATATTCAGAGGGAACCTCCCATGTTTCAGTTTGGGCTCACTGCCTCTGCTCCTGTCACTGGGCACTGCTGAGAAGAGCCTTCTCTGCTCTAGGCTGAACTGTCCCAGCTCTGTCAGCCTTTCCTCCTTGTAGAGATGCTCCAGACCTCATTTTTATGGCCCTTGGCCAAACTCTACCCAGTACACTCATGTCCCTCTTGTATCTGGGAGCCCAGAACTGGACACAGCACTCCAGGTGGGGCCTCACCAGCACTAAATAAATGGAAAGATCGCCTCCCTTGTCTTGCGAGCAATACTAATACAGCCCAAGATACCATTAGCCTTCTCTGCATTGCTGGCTCACGTTCAACTTGGTGTCCACCCAGGTCCTTTTTCAGCCCAGCTGTTCTCCGGTTGGGTGGCCTCCAGCATACATCAGTGCATGGGGTTGTTCTTCCCTAGATGCAGGGCTCTGCACTTCCCCTTGTGGAGCTTCATGGGGTTCCTGGATCATTTCTCCAGTCTGTCACAGTCCCTCCGGATGACAGTATAACCCTCTTGGATTGAGGTGAGGCTGACAAGTTAACCAGGTCCTTGTCGTCATTTTGGAAGGTAGGGGTGACTTACTTTCCTCCAGTCCTCAGGCACCTCTCCTAACTTCCACAATTGTTCAGAGATTGAGAATGGCTTCACAATGATATCTGCCAGCTCCCTCAGCACTTATGGGTGCATCCCATCAGAGCCCATGGACTTGTGTTTGGTTTGCTTAGCTATTCTCTAACCTGATCCTCTTCCACCAAGGGTGTGCTTTTCCCCTCATCTTTGGGGCCTTGAATTTCAGGAGACCCCTCTTACTAGTAAAGACTGAGCTGAAAAAGTCATTAGGTACCTTGGTCTTTTTCATGCCCTGCATCACCAGGGCCCCTGCTCCATTCAGCAGTAGGCTCACATTTTCCTTAGCCTTCCTATCGCTATCTATGTATTCACAGAAACACTTGTTGACTTTGACATCCCTCACCCAATTGCTGATGACTCCTGCAAGTCATCTCTACTTGTGTCTACATAGCAGACATGTCCCATTAGGGGCAGAACTGATGGTTCTAGATCAGTTTAGTCTCTACACACCTAATTCTCATCTCCCATCTATGCTTTAGCTAATCCTTCTACACCTCAGTTCTGATCCATCTTGCCTACTCTTGTTTTCCATTTAACTCCTTTATAATTTACATGTTACTACAGGTGTTTAAGGATGAAGCGGTCTTACTTTACTTTTTAAGTAAAAGTTTCACTCACATACTTGAATGTAACCCACTACAATTAAGTTTAGTGAATGTTCAGTAGTGCACAAATATACACAGCATATGAGAAAGCACTCCCAGTGGCTAACAACTTTTCAACTACATCTCCTACAGAGTTTCTCCACATATTAAATGTTGTATTTACCATTTCTGATGCACTAACATTTTTCCTTTGAGAATCTTGTTCTTTCACTTTCCTGGGCTTTCTTCCCTCTCCCAGTCAACTGCTTCTGAGGGGGTATCCATTTGCTTCTCAGGTCTCTGAAGAAACTGCACAGAGGGTATTCTCTCTACATTTCTACAACCATCTCACCTGTAACTTCTAAAGCCTTGGTGCATCTGCTAACATTTAGATTAAGTCTTCTACTTATTTCATCCAAACCAAAACATCTCAGCTCTGTTCAGCACAGAGATATCTTACCATCAAATCAAATTCATCATGGCTCCTAGTCCCTCCAAGTCTGACATTGCTTGCTTCTTTGACCAAGGACATAATTCTGCAGGCCAAATTTCAGCTATCACCAACTCTTCTTGACTTTGCAGACAGCATATAGAATTTTCTTTTCTTTATAAAAAAAAACTAAAATAGCCTTTCTTTTCAAATGACATTAAAAGTTATTTGGCATGGAGATTGCAGGTGACATCAAAACTTTAAGACAGTAAGAAACTCCTCTCAAAATCAGATTCTTTCATGTTAATTCAGGGCTTAGAAAAATAGATTTATTTAGAAACTGTCTGGAGCATCAGTGATTAGACACCAAATTCCCATTTTTTTTAAATAAAATTATGACATCTCTCTTCAAATAACTATGAAGCAGTCTTGATCCACAGCTTCGGTTCAAGCACAAAATTATCATTTCACTACAAGCAGCACAACTACTGGAAATAACTTTCTTTTGATAAAGAAAACTGCTGTATTAACCCTCTATCAGAATACTTCTGAATCTGAAAGTTGATCAGTCTTCCAATACACTTCCTTGCCTGATAGCCCTCTTAATCCTTCCACTATTTCTTTGTTACAGATGATCTTTGTTTCCACTTCTACAGGCCACAGAGCACTATGTCCAAACCTTGGAAGTTTTATCTTATCAAAACTCCTTTGTCAGCCCATGTCAGCATGGACTACCTGCTCATGTTCTGAAATACAGAAGGAGTCTTTTGGCCTTCATTTTCTCTCCTCACTACCATGCTGCCATCTCATTCCCTTTCGAAAGTCCTTTGAAGGTCCTCTTTACCCCAGTGCCCATAAGAACATCTATTACAGTACTGACACTGCCAATATATCCAGAGTAATGGTGTATGCAAACAGGCACTGAATCCCCCACATACTCATCTTCAAATTTTTGTATACTTTGCTTGTGTAAGTACTTTGAGACAGAGTTAATGTGCCTTATTTTCAAGACACCTGAAATAAAAAGGTCCTTGCCTGTGATCCCTCAGATTTATGACACTGCAAATACACAAGTACTGAAGCATCACAGGAGATTTTAGTGTTTCTCTTTTTGTTACTCTTCTGAATCTTACATCAGGATGCTATCCGGCAGCTCGGATTTATTTGAACAAGGAAAACTCTACTACTTAAGTACCTATTAACTGTATTTTATACTAAACACACACTGTATTAGTTAGACAGTAAACATTTTCAGTAAATCCTAGCTTCTAGCCA